ATTTGTGTAAAACAGGTAAAATTAAAAAATTTAACTTGTTAATATCATTCATTCTGTAATTTTCATTTTAGTTTTATATGACAATCGTGTTGCTAGTAATTCCACTCTGTTTAACCCATTCTTTTCCATTTTCAGTTTTTAGATTTTAACAAGTCAGCAGCCCTAGGCCAACCTTGAATGTTAAATCTTCTACATATGTTTGCTATGTAGATAGTTTGAATATTAGTTATGTTAACTGCAATGACAGTCGGTCCAAAAGAGAGAAGCGTCCACGAAGACCAGTCCGTAGAGGAATATATCTCAACAACAACAAAAATTGAAATAATTAGTGGTGGGTGTGATTTGTTTGTGGCGTGACGGCTGAATTGAAGATGACGGTTGGGGCTATTGCTTCCACCAAAATCAAGCAATAGCAAACAGCTTGAACTCCAGCTCAAACCCTCAATTTTTGACCTCACAACCTTCTCCAAGCTCTGTCTCTCTTTTTTTCTCTGTATATTTAACATCGTTTGGTTTGGGTCAGCAGCGATCGTAATTATAAATTGGCGAGTTTAAATATCCGTAAGTGGGGTTAATGGAAGTGCAGTTAGTTGGTCAGGGTTTTCGTTTTGATTACGTACGTAAAAGAAAGAAATGGATTTTCATTCTGTGTGCTGTTGGGTTGGGTGGTTTCAGCGCTTACAAGCTCTTTCATGCGCCTTCTGTTGTTCGTAAGAGAAAGAGGCTTTCGAAGCTTGCGGGTGCGTTGGTTTCCGTAGCGGAAGCCGTGTCCGAATCTGCAGATACCATCGGAATCGTATCCAGAGACGTTAAAGAGTTTCTGCAGTCCGATTCAGATCAAATCCCCAATAGCCTGAAGCAGATTTCCAAGATTGCTCGCTCTCAACAATTGTCGGAGTCCTTGGTTGGCGTCACCAGTGCTGTCACCGTCGGAGTCCTGCGCGGTTATCAATCTATGAACCGGACTGGTGGTGAGCAATCCGGTTCAACGGCCGTGGACCGGGTGCTTGACAAAATGTTTACACCAGCTGGGTCAGGTTTTGCTTCGGTAGTTCTTGGAAGCTTTGCTAGGAACCTGGTTCTTGCGTTTTATACGGATCAACGTAACCACTTAGGTGGAGAGTCGAACTCCAGCAATGAGACTAGTGGTGTCACACATGTTGGATCCAATTCGGATCCTGTTCTTGCTTGGGTGGATGTAGTTTGTGGTGATAAGTGTGGGGAAATGATTGGGAATTGTGTGCAATTGTTTGTGAGCACCGCGGTTGCGGTTTATCTTGATAAGACCATGCATATCAACACCTATGACGATTTCTTTGCTGGCTTAACTAACCCGAAGCATGAGACCAATGTGAGGGAAATCTTGGTTTCTGTTTGTAATGGTGCCGTGGAGACTCTCATCAAGACGTCTCACAAAGTGTTAACAAGTTCAAATGCAGTTGTTGGTTCAGGTTCAAGTTCATATTTGGCTATTGGAGAAACTTTGATAAATGAGGACTTGGGTGGAGAAATGTCGTCCATTGAATCGAAGGCTGATGATGTTTATGATGAAGAAAATAAGAGTGGCTGGGTGGGCAAAATTTCGTCAACATTGGCGGTTCCCAGTAATAGGAGGCTTGTTCTTGACCTGACTGGAAGGGTGACGTTTGAGACTGTTAGGTCTTTCATGGAGTTTGTTTTGCAGACATTTTGTGCTTCTGTGAGGAGATGTGCTCATGTTGCTCAAGAGGCAGTGCTTGAGATTGTGAGATATCTTGCAGCGAAGTCCTCCGTCATTGTGACTATATGTCTCTCGTTGTATCTGCACATAATGGGTGGAGGCTGGGCTTTGGTGCCTGCTTAAGTAGTTTTTCTGACTACTTTTCATTCACCAAATATATGTGATTGGTAACTAAACTAGAAAATTTTCTGGAGGTGCTGCTTCTTTGGGCTTGCAGCTTTGTCATAATCTCTATATACCATACATGGATTAACTTTGTAAATCTTAATATTATAAATGTACAGTGATCATAGAAGGTACGTTTTCTCTTAAATTGTAAACTCATGGGCCAACTCCACCGCTCTCTCATATAAAGCACTCATCAACCATTAATACTATTTGTTTTAGGTGTATCAATCATGATTAGATCTATTCTTGACTTGGAACTTATTGTAAATACATCCTTCTGTATAGTATGA